TTTTTTTTTTTTTTTTTTTTTTGTGGCTAGAATTTGGCATTGCCAGAGAATTATGTTAGTCCTAAGGCAGCAGTTCTGGATTTTACCTTCAGTCTAACACCTGGGATATACCATAGGAAGATTTTACCTACCTGAGCATCATCGCACAAGCAGATGGGGCCCGTCAGCTCCACAAAACCTTGGGTGGCTCTCTGGGGGTAGGATCCCCTCATAGTACTCATTTTCTTCAGGGTCAAACAAATGCATTTTTCCTTCCTTTATGAATAGAAAGAAATACTTGCAGAGAGCAGATTTAATTTTTTTTATTGCATTGCATTGCAAAATTACTTAATTCTGAGAAAACCCTATCCCTTCAGACCATTTGCTTGAAGAGGCCAGAATTATATAAGGAAACCTAAATCTCTCTAGAAAGCCAGGAAACATATTTGTAATTGCAAATCACTTGGTGTCCAGCATTTATTTGTGTAATAATTTTGGTGGCCCAAGTGGACAACTCTCTCTTCTCACAAATGGTATGTAGGCTGTCTGCTTTAGAACGTAAAGAGGCATATATAATTTTGAAGACTATATCCAGTCCAGCTCCAAAATTTGCTGAAAGTAAAGATAAATATTTAAGACGGGAAGAAAAAGTGGCAAGGCACTCATTACCACATTCACGCATTATAATCTTAGATCTTTAGATGTTTCTAATGGAGTTTGACCTCTTGATACTCTTGATTTATTTCCCAGGTGAAAGAAGATAAGCAGTAACAGTGTGTGGAGGCAGGGGAATGGGAATATGCACATAGCCTAAGGCAAGAGGGAAGGGAACTCTTCTGGGGGACTGGGGGACAGCAGGGGCCCAAAGAAGGATATGTGAGAAGTCCATGAAATGGGAGTGAGAGGTGTGACGTTCAGAAAGCTTGTGTGAGAAACGGGGGAGGGAGAATCCCTGAAGAGTGCGTTGTTTGGCCCTCAGGAACTACAAACACTGTCTTCCCATCCATCTGCTGAGCAGCGACAACGCGCGGAGCTGAAGTCATCTGGCTGAAGGTTTCCGTGGTCTGGTGTTCTCCAAATGTTCAGTCGCAGCTCTGGGGTGCCAGGCTCTCTTTTTTAGCATGATGACGTGCTCAACTGGGCTATTTCCCGAGGAGAAGTTCTGCTCTGCAGGATATACAAAGTGCATTCTGGCAGATCTATGCTTTAATGGTTGTCCCCACTCTGTTTTATTCTGGTTTCCCTTTTTTCATGAAGGTGAACACCCTGCAGGAATGCACAAAGGCCTCTCACTCTCTGTGCTGAACTTTAGCCTTTGCAGTTCTCTTGCCCAAACGTGCAGCTGGACTCTGAGCTACAGGGGACACTTCCAGAGCGTATGGGAAGGAGGTTCTCGCTTTCAGAGGTTTCCAAGAACGGATGTTGGGTAAGCGGGGCAGTTGAGCAGGCTGTGGTTTATAGCAGATTGTTTGGTGAGCAAGCTGGGCTCAGGGAGTTGGCTTTGCCTCCTGGGAGAACCACTTCTAAACAATAACTCTTGTTACATTTCCCTTCCCAAAGTAGTAAGAAAGATTGGACAATACCCTAACTTTAAGATGTATAACTGGAGCAGATCTGAGGTCTTGGTTCATCCCCGTGTTTGAATAAAAGCACTCTTCTGAAGTTCTTCAGTGACACAGCTGCTCATGGCCAGTGGCTCCGTCATCCCAATGACAGGAAAGTCTTCTCACACCCATACTTTTAAGACGCATCCTTAAAATAGTTGAAATGACTTGTAACAGGGAGTGCTCAGCCTACCAAGCACATATAAGCAAATATTTGCAACAACTGGCCCAGTGTTTGCACAGCACCAAGCACACTGCCTGGACTCCATAAATAATAATACTTGGCACTTGCAGAGTGGTTTCCATTTTCAAAGCACTTTAGTCATAACCCTTGACACCTATACGGCCTTTTACATCTTTACAAGAATTAATTAATCCTCACAATGCCCTGTGAGGTACATATGCACTGCAATAATAACAATAACAACAATTAATAATTCATGCATTCTACTCAAAAATCACTTCAGGGATTAAAATGCATCTGTAATACTTGGGGTTTATTAACATTTTCCAGCAAATAATAAAACCCATGCTATTGTGTTAAATCTATATAATATCCATCCATAAATCTTGTGCAGATCGGAGCGAGGCTGAAGGCACAGCGAGGCACCAGCGGGAAGCGGATGGCTGGCTCCAGAAAAGCTCAAGCCCAGTCCACACACAATCCAGGTGCCAGAATGGAGCTGGCCACGCACGGCAGTGCGTAAATAAATACCAGCGAACCAGGAAGACTCTTTGTTCATTTTTAGCTCTTGTTTATGCAGGGGCTCCCCCAGCCTAGGCGTGCTGACCCCATCCTGCACAAACACAGCACCAGGAAAGTGCGGGCGCTCCTGGGGGAGAAAGGGCAGTGACTCAGCACCGCGGAGATCAGGGAGGAGCCTGCACAGCACCAGGAGAACACTTTCCCTCCACACTTTCCCTCGTAAAAATTACCACAGTGCCTTTGATATGCAGGCAAGCCCCAGTTAAACCTGATATTTAAAGCAGCGGAACTTAAAGCCTGTTGATGTAAACAGAAGAACCATCAGGCTCCCACGGGGGAGCTCCGGGCCTGGCAGGGCAGGGGAGCGACCAGGCTCCCCACACGGACGGATCCCCCACAAAGATGCTTTTGTCAGTTTGCATCCCAAAGTGGATTAACGTGAACCACAAGGGCACTTTAATCCTAATGAGCACGTACACCCACACCCTAACAATTCCACCGAGACTTCCCCATGACTCCCCTGTGACGGTGAGCTCTGGTTCCGAAGCACTGAACAGTTAGGCCTGGAGGCCTTCATACTCTTTAAGACCTTTTTCATTTTTCCTTAATTTGAGTGAGATATCCACATTAAAATAAATAAATAAAGCCCCTTCTAAATTATTTGACTTTGTATTGTGTACACTGGGAAAGGAAGTGGAGGTTCACTGGTTTGAAGGCACCGGTTTTATTCCTTTTGAGGCTGCTGACAATGGCTCTTTGCAGGAGAGAACATGCTGGAAAAGGGCTTCTTTTTGATCAGGGTGCATCCTCTGCCCCACCTTAGCATAAATGTATTGGTGATTCATTATTTATTGATCATATATGGTAAAAAATGTCCCACACTGGTGATCAACATACCAGTACCAACTAGTTTCATCAGTTGCTTTAAAGCATGCACTCACGGATAACCTTGTAGGTCTCCATAAGCCAGGGAGGAGTCAATCCAAAAACAATCATCTCATTGATACACTTACCAGATCGATTTGGGAGGCTTCTGCTTCCCAGAATAAACAGCAAGAGCAGAGGAACAGCATGACCAGGTGAACAGTCCCTCATTCACAAGCAGTTGATGAACTGTGTGATCCAAAGCCATGAAGTGATGCTTTCAGAAGTTTCAGGACACAAGTTACGCTGCTCAGAGCATGTGCAGCTCTAACTTGGTGATCAGGCATGTGAACTCTTCAGCACCTCCCTGGTGCACAGAGCTTCTGCTGGACATGGCTGCTGGCCCTAGCCCTTCTGCAGGGGCAATTTCACATTGCTATTTTCAAAATCTACCACAGGACCCCAAAAAATAGTACAGATGACCAAGGTCAAGACTGCTGCAGGATGGGGATTCCTACCAAACAGAGTCTGGCCTCACTGTTTTATTGCTGC